AATAATAGACCATAGTAAGCTTTCAAGGAGTGTTTCTTTCCTTTCAAGTGCACAGTATCTGAGAAGAAGAGCAGGAGTTCTGGGGAAGAAGTGTGTCAAGGCCCACAGAGGGGCATGTACCACAGGAAGCACTGGAAGACCTAGAGGGCAGGATACACAACCCCAGTGGATGCTGACCACCACTGCTCTTAGCAACCCTTAGGTTGTCATGTAGGGTTCCAAACACAGTGTAGCCCTGATGACAGGAATGAGCCAACAGCATGGGTTCCCCTGGCTACAGCAAATGTAGCACCAGCTGCTACTGAGTTCTTCATCTTTCAGAGACCAAGGCTGAGCCCCAGGTATGGTGCAGTGATGAGGTACTTGGGACAAGTTGATTATACACCTTACGGATCATTGCAATAGTTTTCCTTTTACACTGAGTGGAGTAGAAAGCCTTTTGGGGTTTGGAGCAAGGAAGTTAACAATGTGACGTGTTTTGGAGGGATGCATCTTAGCTGAATTGTTAAATGTAGATTATAGGAAATATCTTTGAATGAAGAAAAGTAGTGAAGAGTTTCCTGACATGATTTGGGTAGATATTTAGGGTTGTGAATTGGTGGTGGAAATGGTAATATCATATTCTGTATATATTTTGAAGATAAAGAAGCATTGTTGTCAGATAAGTTTGGGGACTTGAAAATAAGAGATAAATTAGTGGTGATTTGATTTTTATTTCTGGCTTGATTTCCTAGAAGAATGTAATTCCCATCAAACTGGGTGGGAATCTAAAGAAGAGACATCTTTAAAGAATAAATAAAAAAGATTAATTTTAGGCAAATTACGTATGTGATGCCTCTTAGACATGATTGGAAATGCTGAGTGGCCAGTGGATGTATGATCAGTAATTCAGGGCAAGGTCTAAAATGAGGATATGATTTTAGGGAGATCAGCATTTAAAATACCCAAATCCATGATAATGGCATTAGGAGTAATAATATAATTTTTAAATTCAAATGGATAATAACACTGGGAGATGTGATACTCCAATACTTTAAGATTATGAAATAAGAGGAAACCCAGGGTGTAAAAATAGAGTGTCCAGGGAGGTAGAAGGTAAGCCAGGGAAGTGTGATGTTGGGGAAATTAAATGCATGCAGTGTTTTAAAGGGCCAGATATTGCTGAGAGGGCAACTAACGTGAAGACTGAGACCTTAGCCAATGGGTTTAACAAAGTGGAAATCACTGGGAACATTGAGAAGAACAGGTTGGTAGAGAAGGGTAAAAGACTGATTGGAGTAGATTAGGAAAGTATGAGAGGAAATAACATCTTACTGCAAAGCAGAAGAGATGGGATGAGTTGCAGGTTGGTAAGAACAGCACTGAGGGTTTCTACTTCGAGACAGAGGAGATGAGAGAATACTTTCATATGATAGATATGATTCTTTCGGATCATTGGAAAATGGGAAAAATACTGAGGATGAGTAGATGATAATCACTGGAACAATGCCTTCAAATAAGTAATGCAAAACTTTTCTGTTTTTTAATGCATCAAATTCGATGAATGGTGCTTCTGTGGCACATCAAATTCTCCTGCGTTGGCTACACAGTGTCTCCCACTCTGCATGGTTTTTCCAGTTTGATTTTTTAACCACTGATCCAGAGATGGAGCCCATCATGCGGTTTCTGTGCTTTCTTTGACCAGTGGTACACAGCGGAAGTCACCCTCAGAGAGTCCCAGACAGTCCTTAATTAGACTGGCAGTATCCACACCCTGCCTTTTGGAACATTTGTTCTTAGGAAATTCCAGCTCAGAACCCAGCCTTTCTATAGCCAGAAGCTCCAGCGCATCCAAGCTGACCATTCAGCAGACCTTGCTTAGTTGAAGCCAGCAGCCGGTGACAACTGCCAGCACAGAACAAATGACATTCCAGGTTCAACCACGAAGCCATCAGAAGACTCCAGCTAGTATATAAGCAACAAGGCATGAAAGGCCCAATGCAAACCAAATTTGCCAGAGCTCAGGTGGCCTACCTGATCATGAGAAAGACAACAATCATGATTTTAAGCCACTAGGTTTGGGGTGCTTTGTACACAAGGATAGTTGATGGCACTGAAGGTGAAAGGGGATACTGGGGCAACAGGAACTTCAAACAGGCAGATGTGGATTCAGGAGTGGGTGGAAGGTCTGCAGACTGGCCACTAGTGTGGCCTGGAAGGCAGTGAGATGATTGCAGCAGTGGCTGGGACAGCACAGTATTGGGTCCTGGAAGGTGGAGGAACACTCTGCTCATGCCATCATGAAGCACACACCATAGGAACAGTGATGGATTGTTCAGCTGAAAGACCAGGAGACGGAAAGCATCAAGTCTTTGAGTCACACATAAGGCACAGGTAAATAGGAGTTAAAAAGAGCTGTTCAGTTTTCAAACAGCATTTAGAAGGAACCTAAAGGTCCCAGGACATGCCAAATTCAAAAATAAAACTGTTTTCTTAACTAGCTCTTTGCAGAGCACAAAATACTACAAAGACAGAAACGGCCGCTAGTAGAGATCCTCTCAAGTGTATGACTACAAAATCCTTGTCAGCATTAAAAGAAAGTACAGAAATTATTCACAGGACCCTCAGCCAAAAATACATCCTTCTAATAATTTAAAGTTATTTTTTTATAGCACGCTAATTTTAAGACCCAGGCAGGAAGAGGAGTCTAACAGGGGAATATTTGTGTGGATGGACTCTTTCTAACAGATTGAACTAGAATAAATTCATTGTGAACACACAATGTTCATGAGACATCTCCTCATTATGCCATCATAAACTCTCTTGAGATGACCAATTCACAGAAGTAACCACGCAGAATGGAAAGAAGCTTCTTGGCCTTGGACATCATCTGACAGGCAAGAGGCTGGAGAAAGTGCTCAGCTGAGTTGAAGGCTATTTCTTGTGGAGGAGGCATGGGTGGCTCAGAGAGGGGAGCCAAGGCCCATAGAGCAACCTGGGCACTGGGTCTAGTCTCCTATCAAACCCCTGACAACAGGTGTCCAGCTAGATTTCAGAACTGCCAAGGACCAGTGACTGCCAACCTCCCAGTGCATACCCTCTTCACCAGGACGTTCGGGGAAGGCGTTCTCCCTCCCCCTGAGTGTTAGATGACTTACTCCTCTGCTTCTCAATTCTTCAGATGTAGAGAAGCTGTGCTCCCCAAGTTGATTTAAGTACTCTCCCCTGATGACTTGTGAATCAGCTGGTACTGATGAGACCCCGTACTTCAGGGTAATGGGACTACCCGGGACCCGGATTCCTTGGAGAAGCAGCAAGCACAGTTTGCCTGTGGAAGACACGTGAGTGGTAGAGGACGGTGGTGTTTTCTCCCCATGGTGCCAGCAGCATGTCCCACCCTGTGCTGTCACAACATGGTGTCCATGTGCTGTCCCATGGAGTCTGAACTAGCCGGAGGGTTGTTTTGGCCAACAGAACTCAGGAGAGCAGCAGTAGACCAGTCCCAGTGGACCCCCTTAAGAGGCCTAGCATCTTGCATCTCCTTCCTCATGGAATGCTCTCTGCTGGGCCACGTTCTTCCTGGACCCAGACATCATGCTGTAAGAAGCCCCAGTTGCTTGAAAATGCCTTGAGACAGGGATCTGACGCTACAGCTGCCATCCACAAGAACCAACGTGGGAATGAGTCTCCCTGGGCATCGGTCCAATTTAGATCTTCAGAGGACTCTGCATGGCTTCCGTCTCTCTGTCACCACATGGGAGTCCCTGTGAGGATCCTCCAGTCAAGCCCAGTCAATGTGCGATGGTGATGGAAAAGCAATGTTGTGTCAGCCAATAAGTTTAGGGGTCGTAGGTATACTTCTTCTTGATGACAGAAGGGAGACTTCAGCTGTTGATGACAGAAGACGGAGATTTAGCTTCCTTCCTATAAGCAGAGGTTCATTAGTAGAAATCAACTCTGTATAATAATTCAGCACAGTCCACAAATGGGACCTGTTGTTGTCCCACAGCACAGCAGGAGATAACTGAACAGTCGCCCCACTGTGTCACACAGGTGGTTGGTGAGCGATCAGATGCTCCTGTCCTGATACAAAACTCAACACAAAGCAACAGGTCCATTCTTTCCTCTTCAGTTCAGGTAGAGTTGAGTTGAGAGAAAACCAAGTGCGACATTGGAAAAGCCTTGGTGATGTACATTTCTTTTTTAATATCTAGCTTCTGCTCAATGAAAAATTTCCCATTCTAGCAATTAAAAGAGAAGTGGGAATAAAGTGCTCCCATGTCTCTTGGAGGTGCCACATCTCATGACTCACTCAGCCATGTGTCACCATCACTTATGATGGGTTCTTTAGTGAGGAATCCAATATCACGCACTCTGAGGGACTCTCAGGACATGTGGGAAATGTTATCTTCAATGGAAAATAAACACTGGAACAAAAATAAATCTACTTAATACCAGAAAGGAAACTTTCAGTTGTTTGCTGTATTTATTACAGATTGAGATTCAGGTTTCTTGTTATAAGTATGGCTTATTTATAGAAAGTAAAAAGTTCACTCAAATATCTATAATAATTTAATGCAATTTGCAAATAAGACCTTCGGTGGACAGTTCCGTCCACCCATTATCTCTTCACTGTCAAGCACTTATCACCCTAAGATCAAACACCGAGTGTGTGATGAGTTTACCATCCATACCCTGCACCGCAGAGCAAGATTCAAGTTCTGAAAATCACTAGTGCAAACAATCAAATTGATCCTTTCTATTTGCAGCTGTTTTTTGCTCAAGCTCAGGGGAAGTGTCTTCATTGCTTGCACATCTGCATGCTGACAACCTGCATAAGCTCATGTAGACCAGGGTCCATATGTGCGAGGGGCCTCCTACCACCTCTCCAAGCTGATTCAGTATGCCCTCACTTCTAGGCAAAAGTGTCTGATGAAACCACACTGGTTAAACCTGGGGCTCCTGGTTACTGTCAGTAATTTCGGTGGAGATTGAGCTCAGCTCTGCGGTATTGGGATGCTCCCTAGCATGCAAGCCACTGGGGGGCAGCAGAGGGCCGTGTTCCTGAGCAGGCAGCCGGCAGCGCTGTCCTGAATTTCCACTCTCATTCATCTTTGCCCCTCTTGGTGTCTGGATATCTGGTTGGAGCAATTCCTTGTCTGATCCAGTCTGTAGTTCTCTGGATTTCTCCTTTTACCTCAATCTAGTCTGTTTTTCAGTAGACTTGTCCCGTTTTGTTTCTCCATTCATTCTTGATGTACCTACCTTCTGTGTTCTGGGCACTAGAATACAGAATGTGAATGTGACTAGAATGGGACCAGGAAACACATTTGACTGAGTCCTGTAAACCCCTGCTAGGCTAGTTGTGAAGGCTATGTGACTTATAGGAAAGGCACGTGTAGAAGATCAAGTCCCACTGTGCCCAGCCATGCCTGATGGCATCGCTGACCCAGCTCTATGACACTGAGCGTGTCATCTCTCACAAGTTTGAACTCTGGAACATCCAAGCTCCGGACACTGCCTACTTCCTGCCTGCATGTGCTCTCATCAGCGTCCAGCAGTGGCCACGGTCAGGTTTCTAAGGCTTCTGAGGCCAGGGTGTGGGATGCTTACCACACTTGCTCATCAGAAGTAGGAGCTTCTCTCTGCTTTTAGTTGTAGGACTCTCTAAAGTGCCCACTGTGTGCCAGACCTGGATCCAGGTGCTGACCGAGGCAACGGAGGACCTGCCCTGATGACAGCTGGATTCTAGACTGATGAGGACAACACCAAGTGCAGGTGAGTGGGTCAGGTGACATGTGCTGTGGACAGAGCAGAGTCAGAAAGACAGAGCAGAGAGGAAACTTCCAATCACTGTGGCTAAAATTTTACAAGCTTATCTGAATCCACAATTCATTATAATCAACAGAGTGGTGCATAAATAGGGCTGGGTTTCCCTGCTACAACAAACCACAGGGTAAATATGTGAGTCTTTCCAAACAGGACAGCGTGCAGGTGAGTGGGGGATGCTCAAACAGACTTTGAAATTGACTTTCCAAGTAGTAGGAATGTGCTGTGTAGAGATTGAAGCAAGGTGGAGGTGTGGTCTCTGAGCAGCTAGGCTGGCAAGGACGTGTGAGAGCCCAGTGTCCCTGCACAATGGCTGTGGTCTGATAGGGAGGGGATGGAAGCCCACCCTGTGAGAGCCAGCCATGTGTGTCATTCACAGTGGGCACTGTGTTGCCTGTTTCACACCCCAACTCATTGGAGGCTGCTCTTGGCTTCATAAGGTGGATGTTGTCTAAATTTCAGGAGCGTTTGATTTTATGTGTAATAAAAGATAAAAGATATCTCTATCCCTCCTTAACAGGAATGTCTGCTAATGCCTTCTTCAGAGGAAGATGTATCATGAGCTTGGTTGTGTCATGCTTTCCAGGTAATGATCGCCCATGTGGCGTGATTGGTATTCCTCAATATTTCTGTAGGCTCCTTGCAGTCTCTCTTGCCCGCCTTAAATCAGGCCAGGGAACCTTTTAGATAACACCCACCTGGCCTGGTTGGTGCCACTCCAGGGTCCCGGACATATCCCCTGGCTCAGTCTCCACTTGCAGCTAATCTTCAAAGCTTCCTCTGATGCTTTTCCTGCAAAGAGAATTTTAAGGAAGGAGCACACTTGGTTTGATTGTGCAGAGCACGGAGCATGTGCTTCAGCAGGGGGAAGAGGAGACGGCTTCCGGAGAGCATCCAGCCAGGTAGAACAGGACACAAGAGGACATGGCCGAGCGTCACTGGCCTGGTGACTTCCTGATGCACACACTTGTTAATCATATGTGTGTTCCTTCATGAGGTGGCATTTGTGTAGCCCCCAGGAACACTGAGGCAAAGGGACATCTCATATTTTCTGTCTTGAAGAATTCAAAATCTGCCTGCAGAAATAGCAGGTAAATAGATAATTATGAATTCTGCTGGATAACATTTTTTAAAAATTTAGCATTTATGTAAAATTTGATTAGGTTGCTTTGGGAAATTTATTTTGCATCTTTGTGCCTCAGTTTGCTTTACTGCAGCAATGGAGAAAACAGTAGTGGCTATTTCAAAAGATTCTTATTAACATTAAACAAGATAATACAAATGAAACTTTGGACTGACTTTAATACATGGCTGGGGCAAAAGGACTATGATGATTATTATTGATGGTTTGTTCTCTCTCACTCACACACACGCTCCAGAAGTCTAGAATTATAGAAGATATGAAAGAGCAACTTCATGGTAACCATTTTCTCTGAGGACAAAAGGAGGGAAAGAGGCTTGGGAGGAATTCCAATTAAAATATATCTGTAATATTTATTTTTTTAATGAAAAGTTCTGCAGTAAATGAAGTCACCTCATCAACAGCTGCTAACCTGACATGACAGGTGCAAGAGTGTTAATTATAGAATCATATCTGTCCTGTTCTGCATGTTTAAATTTTCTTTATGTTTTAAAAAATACACAAAAGAATGATGCTGGGATGTTGTGGTTGTGGTGCTTCAGAGCCAGGTCAGCCTGGATTACAGCAGGGTCAGCCTGGATTACAGCAGGGCTGACCGAATGCAGATGTAGGAAATGCGCGTCTGGAAGAAGGGAGCAAGTCACTATTTAACTCCTCCTCTGTGCAGTGTACGGTGCTGGTCTCTTTTTTGTTTGAATTTAACTTTAATAAAAACTGTTGCAAAGGTGGAAAAACGTGCACAGCACGAATGTCTATCCAACCAGTTCTTGTGGTGTGGACTTCAGAGCCAGCCAGGGGTGGTCAGATGAGGGAGATTTTGCACCTTAGGGCAAAGCTGAGACGCTTGGTTTTCGCAGCCGAGGGGAAGGGTGCTACTGACCTCTCGTAAGAAGGGGTCATAGATGCTGCTCCAATCCAGCACCACACAGGACAACCCACTCTGTAGGACTGTCCAGCCCCAAAGCCAATAGTGCTGGAGTTGAGAAGCTCTAATATCCAGCAGCCCTCAGTCAAGATGTAGGATGCCAGGGACTCAGCGACAGCCCACATTTCTCTTCCAAAGCACCAAACCTCTCCTCACTGTCCTCCTCCACCCACTCCCAGGCTGACTTCGCTGTGGATTCCATTCTTACTTTTCTTCCATGTTCCCCCGCCTTAGTCTACACACCTCTCTGTCTAGATCTGATCTGGACTCTTCTGCCAACACACCAGGTGGACTTGGACCAGTCCCTTCAGCTCTCCATGGGATCGGCTTCATCTGTGCAGTGGGGACACTGACAGTGCTCACCTCTTGGCACCAGTGTCACCTGTGCAGCCCCGTCAGGAGCAGACCCATGGGAGACTCCTGTCTTCACTGAGAGTGTGCTACCAGGGATGTCTACCAGGAGAGAGAACCAGAGCTCCGTGTTATCAGTGCTGAGAGAGCTGTCCCTCTACAGTTTCAGAGCACCGAGCTGGCCTGTTGGAAGGGTCCGGAAGACTCAGCCTGCCTGGTGCACACTGTTCCATGCTGGCTGCGGCTCTACTGCTGAGCCTGTCTCCCTGCTTGCACTCCCGGGGGTGGTCAGCCTCCCTGACCAGCATTGCCTCTCTCTCCCATTCCATGATGGATGTGGGCTTTTCAATTCATTGGGCTTTTTTGTCAGAAAGAGGGCAGATGACAAATGGGATCAACTGACACAGGCTCTCCATCATGCAGGAGATTTGGACCCCAAGGTGGCCCCTCCACACCTCCTCTTGGTCTGCCGCCGCGGGTGCTTTCTTCTTGCACTCTCCCTCAAGGGCTGCAGAGACACGGGGGCATCGTCCGTCCTTAATGCCAGGACCTCTTTCCACTTTTCCATGTTACTGTCCTGCCTCTGCCTGCTGTACCTGGGCTTTCTCTCAGTCCTCTAAGCCATCAACTTTATGCAAATAGAAAACACGTTTTATTAAAAGGGATTGGCCGTAACCAGGGTCATGTTTTATGAGGTGACTCCCCAAGTGACGTGCAATGCGAATGCCTTGGGTGACTGGCCTTTTTCTCCTGGGAAACTCAATCCTCTGCCCTCGCCTCCGTACTCCTCACCCAGATGATGCCTGCTCACTGCCTAGAGGCTCTCCTGGGACCTCTCCAGGTGTAAAATAGAGTGTGAAGGAGGCTGTGGCTCCTGTGGGTGGCCCCTGCTCACCACGTGTGGCTCAATGCTTTCCTGGAAACCACACTTTCCCCAGGGGAACTGTGGCACCTGATGGCATGTCCCTTTCCCAGCAGTGACCCCTACCAGTGGACAGCTGTGGGGAGTATACAGAAGTCCTTGTCCTTGCCTCACATTCAGACAACAATACAGTCCATCCTGGCTGCTCAAGGCCCTCGTGATCAGCATTGGTCTGTAGCCAGGGCTCCTGGTCCCATCTCTGCTTCCTTTCCTCACGTCAGTGCTCTGGGGAGCTCTTCACCCGCACTTCCTCCATGCAGACCCAGCTACCAGGGGCACTCACAGAGTCAGTCAAGGAAGCAGATCAAAATGGAACTGGGAACTGCATCATCTGGGGCAGGACGTGCAGATCATATTGCAGTTATGGGGGAGTATGACTAGCCCCTGAGATCCAGGATCTTTCCTATAACTGCCACCCGTGTGAATCCAGGTAGGAGACGCTAAAACACTAAGAGGGGATGCACCAGCAGGTGGGACATCTCAGGGGCTGGAGAGATGGGGGTGTGGAAATGAACAATTAAGCATGGGAAGCTCTAGTTAGAGACAATGAAAGCCTGAGCTGATTAGCCACTAATTGAACACTGAAAGAGAGATGTCCTCCTTGGAAACCTACATAGACACTTATTCTCTAAGTTTAAGGGCAGGAAAGTGGGGAGGTCCAGGGGTTCATTGTAAGGGTGACTGTCCTCCAGAATGACTGTATTCTCAATGTCAGCAGAACTGTGAGGTCAAAGTCAGGGTCCTCACTGAGAAGAAGAAGGACTCTGAGACTCGGGGTGGTAACATTTAGATCAACACAGTGAAAGCTGAACCCATGGATGTCTATGAACTCTCTTGTCCTGAGACAGACTCAGCCCTTTCTGCTCTGTTATTGCTTGAAGGCATGTAGATGCTTCATCTTGAAGACAGTATGTAGCTCCCCCAGGGCACAGCTTGCCAATTCTGAAATAAGCCCAAAAGCAAAAATCAAATCACAGTGCACACACCTGGTGAAAGTGCTGGGTCCATTGTCCAGGTGGAGATCAACCCAGAGGGGCCATAAGGCATAGCCGGCATGTGCCTGCAGGACCTGGGAGAACACATCTGGATGTATGTAGGCACTGCATGGAGGTGGGCAGGAGCTGCAGGCTTTATAAGGGAGAGTTTGGCCACGTGGGGGCATGTCTGTGGAACAGAAGGCTCATGGGCTGCAAGGGTCCTGTGAGATGCTATGCGCGGGTGTCACAACTGCCACTGTAGGGATCAATGCTGAAACCCAGCATGGTGCCATCCCTTAGGGACACCAGGCAGCTACTTGGTAGAAAGTGGGTGAGGTCAGAGTTGGGAGTGTCACAGGTTTCCTGTGGAATAATTGAAGGGAAAGTTTAAGGAACAGGGTGGTAGAGAAGCCATGTGTCTGTGAGTAGGGCCAGCCGATGGGCATGCTGGCTGCAGGTGGACAGCAGAGAAGCCTTACCTGGGAATCGCCCTCACCTGGGGTTGCTCTAGCTCCTCCCTCTTCAGAGACAACCTGTTCCAAATGATTGTTCCAGCAATGGAGGAAATAAATCCTAGCCCCCATGTCTTAACCTGGGAAAATCTGAAGGTTGCTCCCATCTGCAGGCCCCCCTGAGATCATCCAAGATCTATGTATCACAAAGTTCCCTTCAGCCTTTCCTTCTTCCCAGTCCTCCTTCCTCCATTCCTCTACCCTTCTGGGTCCTAAGAGCTCTCCCTGCCTTCTCTCCTGTTCACTAAGCTCCACCTCAGAGCCTCTGCCCTAAATGCACATTAAGCTCAGGGAATCTAGACCTAGGCTGTCAGGGACAGTTCAGCTCTGCCTCTTACTGAGAGACAGGGCAGTGATGACCCCTGGCTGCCTCTTGTCCCTCATCTCCTAGATGGAGATGATTCACCTTCCTCATTGCATCACTATCAAAATCAGGGGACATGCGACTAAGAAGGTAGGAGAGTCCCTGCCACACACTGTGCCGGATGAAACTGTTCTCTGTTTTTATTATTGTTATTGTCATGGCTCTGGGATGGACTCTGTTAAGAATAGAGCTAGACCAATTCACAACATGTAAGTTGTGGAGCCAACTTAGGTGCCGTTAAAGAGATGAATGGATCAAGACAATGTGGTATGTATACACAACGGAATAAAAGCCATAAAGCAGAATGGAATTATGGCATTTGCAGGTAAATGGATAAGTGAAATAAGCCAATACCTCCAAACCAAAGGTCAAATGTTCTCCCTGATATATGGATGCTAACACAAAGTAAGGCAGGGAGAATAGAAGTCCATTTGATTAGACCAAAGGGAATGAAGGGAAGGGAGGGGTGGGAATAGGAAAGAAAGTAGAATGAGTCAGACATACTTTCCTGTGTCCATAGATGAACCATGGCCAGTGTAACTCCACATCATGTACAATCACAAGAATGGGAAGTTATACTCCATGTATGCATGATATGTCAAAAGGTACTCTATTGTCATATATAACTGAATCGAACAAATATATATATTTTTTTAAAGCAGGGAGCTGGACAGTCAGACTTGGTTTGCTGCTAGGACTGCTTCACTAGCCTCATACTGTGAACTGGAGACAGTAAAGGTGCTTGCAGAATAAATCATATGAGGGTAATTCATTGGGGTGGTTTTTTGTTGGTTTGTTTGTTTGCTTGTTTTAAGGAAAACAATTCTTGACCAATGGCCTAGCCCACTAGCCCATGCTGACTATAAGAAGAATAGTAAAAGCTAGCGCACATGGAACAATTATTATAAGCCAGGCAGCATGCACCTGATTTAACTCTTATAATATCTCCATTTGATATATAATCTGCCCCAAATTCTCTGTGCTGCACACTGAAATTGAAATCCACACGTTGTAAACCAGTTACATCATTGGTGCTCTATGGTCCTGCTTCTAGGAACCTGTCAATGAGGGATGCCCACTCCTCCCTCTCCACACACCCCCTGCACATGTGTGAAGGGTTTTCCTGTCTTCCTGCTGCTTTCGTATCACCTTTGCTATGTTGGGATTTATTAATTTTAATTCTTCCCATGGGATTTTATGTAGTTTCCTCTTCCAGGGTAAAGTCTCTGTAATATTT